ACGTTAGAATTGCTGTGTTTAGGGAACTTTTATTCTAGACAGGTAATGAACAGAATATATTAGATGGTGACAGCTGCAGTGGAGGAAAATGAACGAGGAAGGATGCGGGATGAGGGTAAGAGCTGCAGTTTTAAATGGGTGGCCTGGCCTGGGGTGGGGGTGGGAAGGCTGGTTTTGAGCAGAGGAGTGACACAGTCTGACTTGGGGCTGAAGCTGCTTTCACATCCTTGCTGGGTGGGTGGTTCTGGTGGGTGGTTTGGGCTGGGGTGGTAGGAGGCAGAGGAGGGCCGCCTTCCGGAGGGACGTGGAGTGAGGCCTGCTGTTGGTGAGGCGCACTGGGATGGGAAAGGCAGAGGGAGGATGACCTGAATACGTAAAACACGTACACTTCTTCCCATTTCACAGGTAGGAAACTTGAACCTGAAAGAATGACTTGTGCCAAGGTCATTTAGCTGGAAAGATAGTGTGGCTGGGACATTTATTTGCCTGGGTTTTTTTTAAAATAAGTATTATTTTTAATTAACATAATAACTGTGTCTATGAGAGACAGCATGATCTGTACACGTACACATCGTGTGATGATCAAATCAGAGCTGTTAGCGTACTCGGCACTTCCAGCACTTCTTTTTTTATTGTACCTAGGTGGTGTTCCAGTGGAAGACCTCGCCTTTCCTGTACATACAGCGTATCTCCCATCCAGGGCCCTGCCCACGCTCCCTCTCCCCGAGGTGGGGAGACTGAGTGGAACACTTGAATGCCTTGCTTCCATGGCGCTCAGTAAATGCTCATCTGTGACACTGGGCTGCCATCAACCTTCCTCATGAGCCCGCTTGATCATCTGAGTATTTTTGGTAGGAGCTCAGACATTCAGTGTACCACATCCACGTCTTTTTCCAGAAGGTTCCGTTTCCCTATCCCTTGTAGAGTTAAACACTTTTTCAGTGGGTTCCCCTTCTCTTTAGACTTTAGACTGGCTGACCTTTTTTCCCCCTCTTTTCTTTACTGATTTTCACAGGAATATCCAGATCAGATGGTGGAGTTCTTGCTGGGCAGATGTTGCCAAATGGCTCTTTGAAGTAGAAAGTTGTCGTTTGAAGGTGTTTGCTCTGAGTGGGAGGCCCAAGCACCTTTATTTTATCGAGGGTTTTTGGTGTTTTTTTTTGCTCAGCCATGACTGAAATGTGATAAGGAGAAATGCCATTGGTACCAGACAGTGTCAGATCATTGCTGGCTGAAGCCTGAAGATTCCTGCGGCTTTGGGGATTTGTATACATCCTGCTCACCCAGGAGCCCTGGCACATTTCAGATGTCCACCCAGGCACTCAGTCCCCAGGCCTTGTGTTGTGGGCAGCTGCTCCAAGGTTGGAGCAAGCTTGGTGCTGTCCCCTGTGTAGCCTACAACGTGCTCACACATGAAGCGATCACACTTGCTTCTCCACGGTGTCCTCCTGCGGCACCCCCAACACACCCCAGGAAAGTGCACTGGTCTAGGTCATCCCACGTTCACTGCTTGCAGGCTCTCTGACCACAGCAGAGAAAGGAGAAGTTGCTTTGAAAAGAACGTGACTTACACTGGATGAGTTCCAGTGTGTTCCTCAGACGGCGGCATCTGGCTTTTCCAAGGCCTCTTTGCTAAGGTCTGCAGCAGCGCCAGCCCTGCTTTCCCTGGTGTGGGGAGAGCCCCCTGAAGGAGTCAGGTCCTGGAAGGGGAAGCACCCTCATGGCGCTGGCTCTCTGCTGCCCAGCTGCCTGCACGTCCGTGGTGCTTCCTTGACCTGGGGACCAGGCTCCAGTGTCCCTACCAGCGCTGCACCCTCCTTGGTGAACCACAGAGCAGCCGGGTGCCGGGGCTCTGGGCTACTTCCCTGCTTCTTGGCTATGTGCTCAGACCTCTGAACACAGCCTCCCTTCAGCCTAGCTCACTTTCGCCCCTAGCCCTGACCTCGGGGTGAGCCTCGGATGAGGACAGAAGGGGAACTGGGTGGGGAGAAGGTGCCCTGCACCGTGGTCAGAGCCTGGACCCCAATTTGATCCACACTGAGAGCTCAGACTTGGCCACATTATCCTCGGTGCATCCAGGGCCAAGGCTTTTCAAGGCTGGGTACACAAAGGTTCCCAGGTACACAGCCTACTGTGCACAGTGGGGGCCCCCCCTCGGCTCCGCTCACAGGAGGAATCCAGAGAGGAAGTGACTGCAGCTAGTGCTTCAGTGTCTCCCGGTCGCAAGGCCCCCAGCTGCAGGGAGAGCAGGCCACAAACATGGGCTGTGTGCAGACCTGTCTGGACAGGGTGCCACTGAGATGGCAGGGGTGGGGCAGCCCATGGGTGGGCGGCTTGGGCTGGGCTGGGGAACTTCAGCTGGCCGAGCGGCCCTCGGTCACCTTTCTGTCTTCCCACATCTGCTTCGACACACTGTGCATCTGGTTTTCATCCTAATCATGCTCCTCTCTGCTAGTTGAGGAAAAACTAAGGGCTGCAGTACATGACATACAGTAGTCACGCAAGTACTTGTCACAGAGGTCATTATCCCCACTGCTGCCCTCTCGGTCAGTATGTCTCACATTTCCAGTGTAAGGAGCGGAGGCTCTGTACGGCTGAAGCATTGAGGAAGGGAGGGCTGTGGCAGGGGAAAGCAGCGGGGAGGCCCTGGGATGGCAGGGTCTGTGGAGCTCCTGCAACAAGGTCAGTCCAGCAGAGACAGGCTGGGAATGGAGCATCTTGGAGCTATCAGAATATAAGATATCTCAAAAAAAAAAAATTCAGCAGTATAGGCATGTGCTGAAGGCAGAGTTAGTACAAACACAAACTCAAGGCAAGGCCGGACAGACTGCTATCCATGCCTCTCTCTGTCCAGGCCTGCATCTTCCTGCCACTCTGGCTGTTTCCTTTGACTTCCCTTTGTTAACCACCCCAGAAATTTGGATCCTTACTCACTACAGCTCCTGGAGCTCCAAGCCTGATCTGCACCTCTGCAGTGTTCTTGGGCTCCAGTCCGGGTGCCTTTCCCTGGTGCTCTCCCTCCCTCTGCTAACCTTCAAGACTCTTGCTTCTCCCCAGAGCGCGTCCCTGGCTCCACCTCTGCCCCCACAGCCCTTCCTCCAGGTTGTAGCAAAGTCTTTCTGCAGCCCCTGTCCATGCTATCTGCACAGTAACTGTCTGAGTCCCAGCTATGTTGAGGACATTAGGAAGCTCAGCACATGTTCGGTCACCTCATTCATGAAAAAGAAACTTAGGACGTGAAGCTCAGTGGTAGAGTCACTTGGTTGCAGTCCCATGCCTACCAAGGGGCAGGGCTAGAATTCAGCCCAGTACTCTGTGACTCCAGTGCTCCTTGTTTCTGGAGCGTCAGAGGACTGTTGCCCCTCAACTCAGAATCCTACAAGAGCACCCCTAGCTTGCTCAAGCCCTGTGGTCTCTACAGTGTACAGTCACCCCGATCTGCCTAGCCTCATCTTCCATTCTAAGTACAATCTCTACCCGCAGTGCGCAAGAGGTACCGTCCCCAACGCCCAAACGTTGCCTAAAGTTGCAGCCAGTACCCAACACTGTGCGCATACAGACCCATGAGAGAATTTAGTTTGTAAATTATGCACAGTAGGAGATTACAACAATAATAACCAAACAGTTGTACCATACTGTAATAAAGGTTACCCAAGACTAATGAATCATTTATTTCTGGAACTTTCCATTAATATTTTTGGGCTAAGGAAACCCGCGGGCAGTGAAGCTGCAGATGAAGGGGGCCCCTATGAAGCACCAGTTTTTGCTGTTGACAAAGGGACAGCTACCCCTTCCGTGAAGCCATTCCCTGAGCTCTGTGCAGGAATATCCTTTCTCTGTAAAATCCCAGGGCCACTTCAAGGGAACCTCACTCACTGTATTTCCCAGTTTCCAGCTTAAGTCTTCAGAATGAGGTTCTATCACCTCTCATCAGAGTTCTGGCCCAGTCCCCTTGGGGAGGGAATACTGTCCTTTGTTTAGCCTGTGTCCCCAGCACCTGGCAGTCATGGTGTTGGAGAAAATACTGACACACAGGGCAGGGCTCAGCCAAACACATCTCCACCCTGTGATAGACTGTTAGCACTGTAGAGCGAGTGGGCCAGTCCCAAGAAAGAAATGTGAATCCCCGAGTGGCCAGTCGAAAGTGCTCTGCCAGCACTATCTGTAGTTAAAAGGTCTGTGTCTCTTGTAGTAAAGGTGCCATGTCATTGCTAATCTGATGAGGAGAGCTGCAGCCCTTCTGTGTGTGGATGAACCCTACATACAATAAAAATGGATGCATGTTTTCACCAGTGGATGATACTGTGGGGGCCCTTTGGTTTGGGTGGTACTATTGCCTTGCAGATGGAAGCAGGATATTTTTTAAATGATTAAAGTTTGCATTTTCTTTACCTCACGTATTTTTTATAGTCAAGTGGGAGTACAAATTTCCCACTAAATCACATGTAATTCACTCTGCTTTAACTCAGAGTTACACTGTGTTGACAGCGCATTTTGAAATGATCCACTTCTCAATGTAACATTTAACTCCAATTCCTCTTTTGTTTATGTTTTTTTTTTTTTGGTAACAGCAATCGAACTCGGGTCCGTGTGCTTGCGGGACAGGTGGTGGAACCACTGAGCTAAACCCCCAGCCCAGTTCCTCTTAACATTAGCTGTTACCTGTGGATTAATGTCAGGAGAAATTACCTAACAGTTCCTTATTCTGAGTAGCACAAAAATAATTCTTTTCACTGGGGAAGGAGCATGTTATCAAAGGTCATTTCTTCTCTCATATAAAATCCCCACTTTGGGGAACTGAGCCCAAGGAATGGTACCCCACATCCCCAGGCCTCCCCCTGTCATTTTTAGACAGAGTGTCATGTCACTATGTTGCCAGTGTTGGCCTCAAATCTGACAGTCCTCCTGCCTCAGCCTCAGAGTGGCTGGGACTACAGGCGTACACTACCACATCCAGCCTGTTAGCTGTCTTTTAAAGCATGCCTTCTCCTTTCTCATAGTTTCTTCAGATGGAGGCACTGAGTCCTCTGCCTTAGTGGATGACAATGGCAGTGAGGAGGATTTCAGCTATGAAGAACTCTGCCAGACCAACCCTCGATATCTACAGCCAGGAGGGGAGCAGCTGGCCATCAATGAGGTACTGGAACCCTGTGTGACAACACTTGGCTTGGCACCCAATTGTCAGAGGCCAGAGCCACTCAAGACATTGTTATTGGGTTGGGTTTTACTAAGCGTATTCCAAACCCTGGAACCCTCATAAGAACAGCACGATGGTTTTCTGGCACTGTGTGGGGAAATGTCTTTGATGAATCTTTCAAGCTGCTGAAGTGCATCTCTATGAAATAAGAGCAGCAGTCATTAGCATTCAGGGCCTATGTTTCATTTTATGAAATGCTCTCCTTTTCTTTTTGTTTTATTTTGTTTTATGAGACAGTGTCTCAGTATATGGTTCAGGCTTGTTTTGAACTCACTGTGTAGCCCAAGCTGGCCTTGAACTTGTGGTGATCCTCCTGCCTCAGCCTCCCAAGTGCTGGGATTACAGGTGTGCACCACCACACCTGGCTCTTCCTTTCAGTTGATCTGAGAGGTAAATGTTAATAGTTATCATCCACATCCTAATAAACAACCCCAAGATGAGATTAAACTGCATGCTGGAAAATGGTAGCGCTGGAATTAACCATGTATTTCTTCCCTCCCAATCGGTATTCTTTCTCCCTGGCTGCAGCTGTAGCCTTTGTAATGGAAATCTTTCTAGAAGGCATCTCCAGCTTCCTGTGTCTTAAACAGACCAAGACTTCAGTGTGTTGGCACTCTACTAAGGTTACCAGGCATTACTGTGTCACACGAGAAGGTCCAGATCCCTAAACAGAAAATCCAGAGTCCAAAATCTGAAACTGTGAGCAACATCAAGACATTCAGAGCTTCAGATTTTAGATTTTTGGATTAAAGATGGTCAACCATGCCGGGGATTTAGCTCAGTGGTTCTGCCACCTGCCCCGCAAGTGGAAGGTCCTGAGTTCGATCCCCAGTACCAAAAAAAAGATGTTCAACCAGTAGAGTCTATGTTCACAAACCCAAAAAACTGAAATCTGAAACTCCTGATCCTGGGCATTTTAGATAAAAGATGCTGAGCCTGTGTCGTGGCAGGTAAGAAAGTGTCAGTCATCTGCTCCTTTGCCCGGCAGACAGACCAGCTGTGTCTGCTGGTGATTTTGACCAGGATCACGTCGTGTTCTCTTTAGTTGCAGTGAACTATGAAGTTAGATTCCAGGCTTACTCAAATTGGGAGTAGAGAGAATGACACGCTCTAGGTGAAGACACAATGGACATGCAGTGACATACGGGTATAGATAGCATTAGGAGCACTTGGCTGTATAACAGCTAGTTTAGCTGGTAAGAAACCATTTCAGTGAGTATTCCAAATACCCAAGTTTTTTAGTAACCTGCTAAATGAGGTATGTATACAGTGGCCTAGATTTATGGTTCTACTAATGCTTTTCTTATTTTACCATGATGTGAAAGTGACACTCACACAGTCAGTAGAAATGGTACTTGGAATTTCGAATTTTATCCTTTCCGGGGCTAGCAATATAGAACAGCCATTCTGTTTTTTTCACTTTTGATACAGCATTCAATCAGTTATGTGAACTACTGAACACTTTCTTGTAGAGTGGGTTTCATGTTAGATAATTTTTGCCCAACTACAGGCTATCAGGCGTGTCTTGAGTACATTTATGAGACTGGCTATGAGGTTAGAGGTATTAAATGCATTTTGGACTTAGGATATTTTCAGTTTATGGTGAGCTGATGGGGCTGTAAGCCCACTGGAAGTCAGAGCATCTGTCCATCTTTTAAAAGTGGATCTGGGTTTTCCTTTGTGAGCAGGTCAGAGATACCCAGCTTCTACTCTTTTCCCAGTATGTTTTCCTGTGTCTTAAACAGAGCAGGGAGTGAGGGATACTCCAGTGTGTCCACATGAGAATTAGAAGGTGGCAGTGTCACTCTGAGAGCACTCACACAGTGGTCCCGGTCCAGCCCCCCTGCCAGTCTCTGCACTCAGCGTGCACTCATGTCTTCCTTCCAGCTGATCAGCGATGGCAGCGTGGTCTTCGCAGAGGCCCTGTGGGACCATGTGACCATGGACGACCAGGAGCTGGGCTTCAAGGCTGGTGATGTCATCCAAGTCCTGGAAGCCTCGAACAAGGACTGGTGGTGGGGCCGGAACGAGGACAAGGAAGCCTGGTTCCCCGCAAGCTTTGTCAGGGTAAGGGTGTGGCACTCGGTGTCTGTGGGAGAACGGCAGAATCATCTCAGGAGATCTCATTATCCAGGTCGGGTTCTTTTGTATTTTTAATCCCACATGCAAGGCAGAATTGTACCACAGTCTGATGGTCAGAGTAACAGTGGTCATTCTGAAGGCAACTGAGTTTTTTGGCGTAGGTGCTGTGGCTGTGCCAGGCACGTGAACACGTGGGCTGTGGCCAGGCTGCCTCCCTGACTGGTTCTGGAAAAGCAAGAGCCAGGGCTCTCCCGCCTTTCTTCTGGTGCTGCCTCTCTGTCCCCCAAGTCACCTGTCACCTGTCCCTGTGTGTGGCCTGCAGCTTCGAGTCAACCAGGAAGAGCTGTCGGAGAATTCCAGCAGCTCCCATGGCGAGGAGCGGGAGGACGGTGCTGGCCCCAGCTGCCACAGGCATTCCGAGAACAAGCACCAGATGAGGACCAACGTCATCCAGGAGATCATGAACACCGAGCGGGTGTACATCAAGCACCTCCAGGATATCTGTGAGGTAAGGCACTGGCCCGGACCTCCCCACATTCCAGAGCCCTGGCTGCTTGGCAAACTTGAGCGTTCTCCTTCCCCTGCTCCTCAGCTGGCTTCCACGTCCCTCCTTTTTCTCTGCACCTCCACTCCAGCGCATGGAGCCCCTGTGCAGACTCCTTTAGCATTGCTGCGTCTAATCCCTGCAGCCTTCTTGTAAGGGCGCACTTCGACTCTTTCAGGATCAGCCCCTGAGATTGTTCTAAGGGAGTGACTCCCATACAAGGCAACGCTGTCTAAGTGAAACCCATTTGATTTGACAGTTGAAGGTTGTCACTGACTCTAACACCTCAGCATCTAATCACGGACACAGAGACAAGATGCTGAGTCATCTAGACACTGATTCAAAATATTAGTTTTATCTGGTAATACCCAAGTATCCAATATCAGAATAGTCAGCAATCAATTTTACTCTGTAGTTGTGATTTCAGAGAACTTCCCTGTGTGCAGCTGGTTTTTCTTTTCTGTGGTACTGGGGGTTGGATTGAACTCAGGGCTTTCACAGACCTTTTTTTTTTTTTTTTTTTGAGGCAAAGTCTTGCTAAGTTGCCCAGGCTGGGCTGGAACTTGTAATCCTCCTGCCTCAGCCTCTCATAGAGCTGGGATTACAGATGTGTGCTCCACGCCCAGCTGTGTTTTATTCTTAATGGATCTTGTCTGCGCATTGCACTGCACTGGGGCTCTCCTGCCCTGACAGGTCCTGCTGTCCTGGCCATGTGGAGGTCTGCACTGTCCATTCAGCATTCCACACTCCTGCCAGTCACTTATTCTGTGTCAGTTGATGAGGAAGGTCGTGATAGTGGCATTTTAGAAAATTCAGACTGATTGCTAATAATTATTGCACATTGGCTGTGCACCATCCCTTTACCTGGTGTAACTCAGTGACCACCAGCATTCTCGCTGGGCAGATCCTGTTAGTCCCTATTGCAGATGAGGGAACTGGGCCAGAGCAGTCACATGGTATGGTTGGTACTCAAGCCTAGGCAGTCTGCCCCAGAGCCCGTACTGTTACAATGTATTGTTTTCCTGTTCAAATTCATACCAAAAGTCAGTAATATATATTTGATTAAATAGTTTAATCTGTTCAGATACGTGATTTTGGACAGTTACTATTAGTTTAGTAACTATTAGTTACTTTTGGAAGTAACTGTTAACAAACATGCATGGCTGTTTCTTCCTATCCCAGTAACTCCTTCGAAACCATAGCATAACCATGGTATGGCAGGTGGAGCACTAATGAATTAAGCCTCTGGTTAGAGATGTACGCAGTTGTGCTGTGCAGAGAAGGCAGGTGATCGTGGGATCTTTGGGGTGAATGTTCTTGACTCCGCCATGATTAGCAATCAGCAGAACTCCATTGGCTCTTCAGCGAGCAGTGGCATTCTGTGTTTGACAAGTCTTCTCGGCTGTGAAATGGAATTAGGAATGGGAGAATGATCATCTTAACAGTGTAGAAAAAAGTGGCAATAATAATTTTTAAGCTCTGGTATTTGAAACTCTGGTATTTTTAACTTGTTTCTGGAACTTTTAAAGACCTAACCATGTTAAATTTTTCACTTTTCTTTTGTTTTAAAAATATCTATGGCAGATTATAGACATGGAAGTGTGATTGTCTCGTCAGGGACTCATAGAAGCAAAAATAATTTTCCCTAATTAAAATCCACTCCAAGACCATAGCTTTTACCCCCTTTGCCCCGTGTACTATTAAAGTGATTTTTTAAAATTTCCAGATACATAAAAGTTTGCTTTCCTATTTTGCAGGGCTATATTCGACAGTGTCGCAAGCACACAGGAATGTTCACTGTTGCACAGTTAGCCACTATTTTCGGAAACATTGAAGATATTTACAAATTCCAAAGACAGTTCCTGAAAGACCTTGAGAAAAAGTACAACAAAGAGGAACCTCACTTAAGTGAATTAGGATCCTGTTTTCTGCAACATGTAAGTCATCATTGCATCTTCCTTAGTAACATCTGGTTGAATAATGATTTTAAATGTAACTTCATTATAACCAAGAATCTTTTCCGTGGTTTCTTGTATTGGCTCCTGTACTGCCCTGGGGGGATAAGGCTGTCTTTCTTCTTTGGCAGAGGAGGAAACACACCAGAGAGTGAGTGGCCCATCATTTACTGGTGACCATTCCTGTTTAACGCTGAAAGATTTCTGTGGCTGCAAAATAAGATTTTATTTTGCAACCACAGTAGTCATGGAGCAATCATGATGACAGTGACAGCAGAACCCTCTTCACTTACTGGGTGCTGGGCTCAGTAGCTTCCTAGAGACAGGATATCAGAGCTGGCAGGAAGATGGGCATGTAGGTGCCTGGGGCATACTGGGGGCTCTCAGAAAGCGCTATGTGATAGAGCAGCAGGGTTCTGTAGAGGAACAGTGGGGAGCAGCTACTCCCTACTGAGCAAAGGCAGAGAGCAGGCTAGTGAGTAGCCCAAGAACAGCAGTCCCAGGATGGAGTGTGGCCACTGCCAGGAGGGCGCTGAGCTGGACCTGGCCAGAGGATGGGCCAGAAAACTGGAAAAGGGATTGTTGAAGTGGATATTTTTCAGGAAAGTCTGACAAAACTGGTTGTAGGCATCAAGGAACAGCAGTAGTCAAAAGTGCCTGGAGAGCTGGCCTGACGGAGAGAAAAGTCGGGGCTCCTCTGTCTCAGGGATCTCCCGGGAAATATCCGTCGGGAATGGACTGATGTGGACTGAGATGGTCTCCACTTGGCACCCCTCACTGCACACGTCTACAGCCTCACTGTGAATACACTCTAAACATTAAGGATTCTTGTGACACAATAAAAAAAAAAGTGCTTATAGAGTTGTGACGAACTATCAGGTGGCTTGGGAAAGTCTGTGTTCTAAGGAAACAGAGGCTTGATTTCAGACATGGCACATTTGAGCACACCTCAGCCTGCACATTGGGCAGAAAGGAAGGCCAGCTGCAAAGAGGGCTGGAAGTGAGTGAGTGACCCACTGGCCCAGGTAGGAGAAAGGCGACATTCAGGGACGTGGAGCGGTGGCCAGGGCCAGGCCCTTGGAAGCCGATTTCTGCCCAGCCTTGGAGAATGGAGGAAGGGAGGGGAGCTGCAACCCAGTGAGGGAGAAGGGAACACTCAGCTCCAGGTCCAAGAGGACGAATAGCCTTCGCTTGGAGGCAAGAGGATGGCAGACATGGGAGCCAGGCCCACCTGGTAAGGTGGGCAGGAGACCTGCGGGAGAAGGTGCAGGATGGGGTCAGTTAGGGGTGGAAGGGCCAGAGGCCAGCATCTTCCTCCTCTCTGCTGCCTCAGATGAGAGCTGGTGCAGTTGGGGCGGAGGCGCACCCAGCTCCTTCCACCCACCAGCAGAGAACCCCGATGGCTACTCTTCAAACCACACTCAGGCCCCTTCCCCTTGTCCAGGCCTGAAGGCCTAGCAGAGTAGCATGGTCCCCTGGGACTTCATGGCCTGTCTTGCTGTACAGCACCCCCTCCTTTCCAGGAGCGTGCCCTCTGGTGGCCCAGTGCTGCCCATGACCTGACAGCTGATTTCCCTTCCAGCAAGAGGGCTTTGCCATCTATTCTGAGTACTGCAATAACCACCCCGGTGCCTGCTTGGAGCTCTCCAACCTCATGAAACAGAGCAAGTACAGGCACTTCTTTGAGGCCTGCCGCTTGCTGCAGCAGATGATCGACATTGCCCTTGATGGCTTCCTCCTCACACCCGTGCAGAAGATCTGCAAGTACCCCCTGCAGTTGGCTGAGCTGCTCAAGTACACTACGCAGGAGCACAGGTGAGGGCCTCCAGGGACCCATCAGTGGTGCCGGAGTGGCAGGGACAGGTGGGCTGGCCTGGCACTCCCAGCACTGCCAGGGAGCTCAAGGGAAGAGACTTCCAGATTGTTTATAGTGGTTACAAACTGTCAACTACTGAAGTGCATTATTTGAAGAGACTCCAGAGTAGCCATCTCTAGAGATATGAAAACATAAGGATAGAGCCGGGCATGGTGGCACACGTGCATAACCTCAACACTCAGGAGACTGAGGCAGAAGGATCACCATGAGTTCAAGGCCAGCCTGGCCACATAGCAAAACCCTGTCTCACCCCACCACACCCTTAAAAGAAAAGAAAGAAAGAAATGACATTACAAGAAAAAATGTCCTTTACTAGAGGGATTACCTTCAAAACCCCACTATATGGCTGAAACTGCAGATAGTACAGACAGTCCTCGTTAATGACTGAGTTCTGGTCCTGCAATTAGGTTATTAAGTGAATTGGTTGCTTAATAAGTTGTATATAGGATGTACATTACAATATTCAGAACAAATAGATGGTCAAAGGAAACTCCAACTTGATGATTTTTGCCTTTATTTACATAACTCCATAACAGGTAGGTCGTTAAGTAAGGAATATCTGTACTGAACTCTTGTTTATACTATGTTTTTTTCCTGTACATCCATACCTCTAATAAAGTTTAATTTATGAATTAGGCACAGTAAGAGATTAAGAACAATAGCTAATAATACCATAGAACAATTATAACAAGGTACTGTAATGAACAGTTTAAAACTTATGAATCACTTCTAGAATTTCCCATTTAATGTTTTATAACTACAGATGACTGTGGGTAACAGAAACCATGGAAGACGAAACTGAATGAGGGAGGCTGCTGTTCCTAGATGGGTGGTCACAGTTCTCCCCTGCAGCCTGTGGAGGGTGGGCTGTTCTTTCGTCCCTCTGTGCCCTAAGCTCCTGTGGAGAGACCAGGCTCAGAGAGAGAATCTTTCACAGTAGACTGCAAGGAATAGGAGCAGGCCACTGAGCAGCAGACCCTAGATATGGGAGCTCAGTTAAAGAATTAGGGCTGAAAGAATAAGAAAAGTGTCCATTGAAATCGATAAAAGGAAAAAGCTCTCTCTCCCTCGCTCCCTCCCTCCCTCCCTCCTGATAGAAAAATCAGAAAACAATTTTCTGTGGAAAAAATTAGGAAAGTCAGATTTGTAGATTTTTTTTTTAAAAGAATTAAAAGACATCATAAGTACAAGAGAAAAGACATCATGATAGGAATCAGAGAAAAAATAAGAGAATTTAATATTCCTGCCAGCTTGAACCACCAGGGGTTCAGAGGCAGCTGGCAGCGAGACATCGGAATTCTACCCATTGAGATTGTGTTAAGAAGTAGGTTCCGTGAAAGACACAGGCAGCTTAGTGCATTCCAGGACGGAAAGCGATGGCCAGAGCTTCGTACACCACTCAATGGTGATTTTTCTCTGCAAGGCATTTTTCACTGTGAGCATTTTGTAGATTTTAGCTATATCAAACAATAATAGTTTTAAAGGAAATGACAAAAGGCTCATTTCCTTGTCTTACATAAAACAGAACAAAAATTTCAAAAACTAACATTCTCCTCATTTCTGGGGTCATACCAAAAATCTTTTGCTTTCTTTCTTCATTACTGGAGGCCTCCCCAGGTTTTTTGCTCCCATTATCCTGGGTCATTCCCCATGTATCATTTTTGTCCTCCTTTCTGCTCTGCTTCTGAATGAATAAGCTGTCTAAAGACAGATGGCAGGGTCTTCTTGGTGGGGCCATGCCAGGGGCCCCCAGGAGTTGCCCTGGAGCCAAGTTCAGCTGTATGTGGTAGACAGATGCTAGCATCCACTTTCAAGGCTTCCATCCTGCCATGCAGGAGGATTTTCTTTTTTTTTTTGGTCCTAGGGATCGAACTCAGGTCCTTGCGCTTGCAAGGCAGGCACCGGAACCACTGAGCTAAATCCTCGGCCCTGCAGGAGGATTTTCATTCAGTCTATCTGAGACCCCATGCCTCTGTCCTGCACATTACTATAGGAAAGTAAAACTTTAGCCCATTTTAAGCTGGATAATTAGTTTTCACATTCCTAAATTATTAATGCTGAGCAAAACACTTTCAGACACTAGGCAGTGTTCTAACCTGTGTGTAAATAAGAACTGCAGTTTCAGTTTATTTCAAAATTTTCAGAATTTGTGGGGTCAGAGGCTGCTGAGGAAAACTTTTTTTTTTTTTTTTTTGGAGACAGGGTCTTGCTTATATACTTCAGGCTAGCCTTGAACTCACTATGCAGTCCTGGCTGGCCTTGCCCTCATGGTGATCCTCCTGCCTCAGCCTCCGAGTGCTAGGATTATAAGCATGGGCCACCATACCTATCTTGGTGAGAACTTTTTACTTTGATTTTACTATGGTGTCAGGAAAGCCCCAGAAATGAAGGGTGCTGGAAAGGCAGATGCCCTCTTAGAAAGGACATAGCTCACCACTTCTGACTATGCAGCTCATGTCCTCTTGTGTCCTTTCTTGAGCCAGTGAATGATGAGGCTTGGTATAAATACTCTTGAAATGAATAGTGATTTTGAAGTACTTTTTATAGCAAAACTGGTTATGGCAAAATCAAAGCAATAATGACCGTCCTTTCTGTATGAACAAAAATAACCCCTAGTCACCATGACTAAAACTTAGTTTCTTATGCCATCTACTTTCATTCATTGTGATTTCTGGGAAAGGCATGAAGATATTCTTATTCCAAAGCATTCTGAATTGCATTGCCAGCTCCTTAACCTCTGCAAACTGTAGTTTATTCACAGGGAAACAAGGGAAAGGAAACAATGGCTGTTGTTCAGAAACTACTTTGTCTAGGCCAGCAGTATACAAACCCAGGTTTGAGCACGCTATCTTGCCAGTCTTCAGTTGCAAGTTGTGTGTTACATGATCAAAATTAACCTCCATTTTGCAGTGATTACAACAATATCAAGGCAGCCTATGAGGCCATGAAGAATGTAGCCTGTCTTATCAATGAGCGCAAACGCAAGCTGGAAAGCATCAACAAGATTGCTCAGTGGCAGGTGTCCATCATCGGCTGGGAGGTGAGTGAAGTTACACCACACACACAAACGCGTGTGCACGCGATCCAGTGCTGCTCACCACGGCCTGCACTTTAACTGTCTGATGACACTTTACCATCCTGTTAATGGTCTGTGTTCTGAAGCATCTTGGTAAATGAAGCGGTCCACTACTGGCCACCCCATCCAGAATGCGCCCCATCATTAGTTCACTGTTTAGGCTCTGTCTCTGCCAACGTGAAGCTTCAGCTCTGTGGGAACAGGGGCTGCTCTGCATGCAGCCACAGGACACACACATGTGTACACTGATGGATGCTTCCTCCTGGTTGTGTTTACAATGTGTCTGGCACTAGTCTATGCCAAGCAACGTGCCCGAAACAATCTGAAGTAGGTGGGCCCCGTTACTGTATTCATTTACCAGACCGAGAAAATAAAGCACAGAAAGGTTTAGTAGTTTTCTCAGGGCCACACATCTAGACGGTGGCAGGGCTGAGTTTAAACCAGTGTAGGCAGGCCAGTTTCATTGGCACACTGCTATACTGCACCACTGTACCAAGAACAAGCAGATGCCTTTTTGTTTGTTTTGTTTTTGTTCTTTGAGACAAGGTTTCTCTATGTAGTTCAGGCTGGCCTTGAACTCACCATGTAGCACAGGCTGGCCTCAAAATCACAGTGATCCTCCTGCCTCAGCCTCCTGAGTGCTGGGATTATTGGTGTGCACCACCACACCCAGCTTCACATTGTTTTTAGACCAAGCGAACTTTTTTTTTTCCACTACTGGGGATTGAACCCAAGGCCTTCAAACTGAGCTATATCCAGACATTTTTTAATTTTTTTAATTCGTGAGACAGGGCCTTACTAAGTTGCCTGGGCTTGTGCTTCTTCTGGTGTATCTCCCAGATTACAGGCATCCACCACTGTGCCTGGCTGGAACAAGGAAACTTTGTCCTGTGTCCATTGTAGGACAGAACTGACTTTCCCAGAGGATTGGGAGTTTGTAGTGAAAAGTCAGAATTTTAACGGAAGTAGATGAGGGCAGTGAAAGGTGGAGAAACATGCTTATATTTCAAGGACCTTGCAGGCTTCTAGACCTGGAGTGGACCTCAGAGCTCACTGGGCCTCACTCCCTTATTCTGTAAGTAAGGAATCCAGGCACAGAATGGCTGCAGGCAAGTAAATAGAAGAACTGCTTCTAGTCAAGCCTTTTTACCTCCAAAGAATATTGTTTATGATTGAGATTAAAGCAGAATAAAATCTTATCAAACAAAGGCCGTAAGGTAGCATTGGATTAAATCCAGTGTAAATTCTGTAAGTTTGTTTTTCTTTCCCATCTTGGACTTTGACATTCTGATTTTACCATCAGAAGTGTACTAGCTTCTTGCTGGCAGTTTGCTACCTGGCCTTTGGTTCCAACATGATAAACTAGTTGTTATTCCAGGGAGCTGCTGTGTACCTGGCTCACAGGCCTGTCTGTAGTGCTGTGTGCCCGTGGCGGTAAAACCCTCCCAGTGCATCCTTACCCTTGGATACCCGGTCTTGGTCAGCTACCAGTTCAGATCTTAGCTGAGCTTCATTCATTTAGCATCCTTTTCACCATAGGTATAGGTAACAATGATGTCTCAGGTAAAAGAGAAGTACTGTAACATTTTCCCACTGAGTAGGAAAAAAAGAGAAGTTTTGTGAGTAAGGAGACCAGAAAACTTGGTTCAGAATGGCCTTTAAGGCCTGGTCCACCCATGCCATGGGTGGTGTCAGGTAACCTGAAAATCCCAGAAAGATTGTTGGGGTCCCTTCTGTGTCCCTGACACCTGCAGGAATCAGAAATGGGAGACCGACATGTTTTAATCTTTCCAGGGCCTCAACATTCTAGACCGGAGCTCAGAGCTGATCCATTCCGGGGAGCTGACCCGGCTCACCAAGCAAGGCAAGAGCCAGCAGAGGACGTTCTTCCTGTTTGACCACCAGCTGGTATCCTGCAAGAAGGATCTGCTGCGCCGGGACATGCTGTACTACAAAGGCCGCATGGACATGGACCAGGTGGAGACTGTGGACGTGGAGGATGGGAGGGACAAGGACTGGAACCTCCACGTGAGAAATGCCTTCAAACTCGTCAGCAGGACCACAGACGAGGTGCACCTGTTCTGTGCCAGGAAACAGGAAGACAAGGCCAGGTGGCTGCAGGCCTGCGCAGATGAGAGGCGGCAGGTGCAGGAGGACCGGGAGATGGGTGAGCACCCTGGGACCTTGGGACCCCGGCTCAGCACCTCTGCTTTTTCACCTTCTCCCTCCGTGGACCTCTCCCTCAGAGGTGAAGCCCACCACTAGGCAGAAGAGATCTGCAGCTCCTAAGGACTCCTGATCTTACTCAGAAGTCGGGTTGAGACAGGTGTACTTCCTGCGGGCAGCATTTGTTCCGTGTTGACTTATGCCAGTTAGCCTGCTGCACATTCATAGAGTTTGTCTCTATAAACGCCAAGGGCATGGTTACTATTAGGCACACCCATCACACAGGTGGAAAATGAGCCTCAAGGACTGGCCCACTCTTAACGTGACCCAGTGGCACTGAGACTAGCTCAGTGTGAGACCGGAGACCCGGCCCCAGGCCATCAGGAACCGCAGATGGTTCTGGGGCCTCCCTCCAGCAGCGCTTTGCAGAGCCCTGCCAGTTCACCTTGCTGCCCCCGTCAGTTCAGACCCAGTTGGGCCTGCGTGTTCCCCACCTTCATCCAGAGAACTTGGAGCCCTGCCGCAGACACACAAACTGAGGCGGTGCTCCTTCCCTCTCAGGGTCAGCTTGAGCAGCCCCAATCTGAAAATCCAAGTCCCAAATGCAGCCCAGACATGCTGGTACATACACACCCGTCATCTCAGCCCTGAGGAGCCTGAGGCAGGAGGCCAAGCTAGACCAGTGAGGCCCTGTCTTAACAAACAAGGGGAAAAAAACCCCAAAGTCAGAAACTTTCTGAGCACAAAAGTGATGCCCAAAATGGAAAATTCCACATCTGAGCTCATGTGACAGATAGGGCCCAGTCATAATACAGGCATGCTAAATATATGGTATGGAACTATGTAGGTGAATTTGGCGTTCAGGCCTATACAATCCCCAAGGCACTGCATTATGTTCCTGCCAACATCCCAGTTGTGCATGAACGATGGCAGCATCTGTAAGCCTGAGTTCCACAGCTCACAGCAGGGGTGTGAGCACAGATCTCAAGGTGGAAGTCAGGGTGCCGCAGGGACCTGGGGCCTCAAGGACAAGAGGGAGGGAAAATATTGGTCTTGCCAGGCAGGCGTGGTGGTGTGCTCCTGTCATCCCCGTGCTCAGGACCCTGAAATGGGGGATGGCCGTGAGTTTGAGGCCAGCCTGGGCTACATAGTGAGTTCAAGCCCAATCTGGACTATACCGAAAGGCCCTGTCTCCAAAACAAAATGAAAAATATATTGGTCTCTGTAGCCTGAGCCAGCCTAGACCTCAGTGGTCACATGGTCCAGCATGGAGGAGCAACCTCCACCCCACCCCCAGACACTGAGGAGGCCAGGAGGAGTTTTAGCAGCCATCTCCGTGTGGCCTGTAACCGGCCAGCCGCTGGAGGTAGCCAGTGGGCTTTGCTGTCACCCAGCAGAGGTAGGCGTTTATATAGCAGGCCAGCCGGCCATCAGAGGCAGGCGTGTCCCCAGAGGGCCGCTGCACAGGCGGACTCTACGGGAGCACTGTGGCAACCCCGACCTCCCCACTCCTGGGGTGCTGGGTGCCCTCTAACCAAGAGGACACCTGACTCTCAACAGCCAGTGTCAGGCTCTGTTGGAATAAGGCTCACCACCCTGTCCTGTGCGTGGTTTTTTAAGTAGGTGCAGAGGACAGCTCTTAAAATGCAACATGGCAGCCAGAAAATCCCAGTTGTCTGTGTCACATCACATTGTTCCTGGAATCACTTATAAGTGGAATGACTGGGTTTTGATTTCCTGGAATCATGACGACTCTGATGGGGCGTTTTGAGCTTTCCCCTTCAGCAGGGAGAAAGAAATAGTGTGGTGCACCCTCTGATGTGCACTGTTTCCTGCCGCTGGGTGCAGAGGGCTGTGAACAGCCAGGGAGTGTGAACCTGGGAGGCAGGGTGAGGGAGCCCCAGGCCTGGACCCTTGCATGGAAGCTGTGCCAGCGTAGGCGGCCCGGGCAGTGTCTGGGCAGACCCTGGAGAGGCACCCTGACCCCATCCCATTTGCCTGTGACCCAGGCAGGACGCTCAGGACCACTTGGGGGCAGACGTGGGCTGTGGGAAAGGAGTCAAGGCCAAAGGAGCAGCGGCCAGCTGAGGTGGAGGCTGGGCCCCAGGGCCTAACAGAGGTGGCTGCATCCTGGATGCTGGAGACAGCCAGGTGCCATCACTGGCCATCACCAGGTGCCTGGGCTTCCCAGGGCTGCTCATTCTCACCCAGTTCACACAGTAGTAGATGCAGACGCTCAGCACCCTGTCCTTGATGGAACACACCGCACAGGGTCTGTTCCCCAGGCCTGAAGCAGCACCTTCCTATGGGCACACTCAGCCTGCACGCTGGGGAGCAGGCCTGGGCACCTCCCCTGTGGCCTCGCCCCAGGGCCTGGTACTGCAGGGCAGTAATTAGGGGTCCGAGAGTGCTTGCCCAGGCGTGGCTGCTCCCCAGGAAGTCTACGCATCCTTACTAAAGCACCCAGCTTCATTCCGTGCATGTGTGGGTTTGGACAGTAGCTATGGGCCCCTCCGACAGTCCTGCCCCTGCCCTTTCCCAGTCTTTCTGCCCTCCCAGGCCCTCTACCATGGTCATGGTGAGGATCTCAGCGCAGCGTGGGCTTCAGTCTTGTCATTGGCTCTGAACAGAGACTGCTTCTTTTCTCAATCCAGGAATGGAAATCCCAGAAAACCAAAAGAAGCTTGCCATGTTAAACGCTCAGAAGGCAGGGCAGGGGAAGTCGAAAGGTAAGCTTTGGGGAAGGTCAGTCTGTCTGTCTGTCTGTCTGTCTGTCTCTCTCTCTCTCTCACACACACACACACACAGAACTTGAGAGTCTTGTTACTTTGTTCCCTTTGTGGTTATGAAGCGTTCCATCTTTTCTCCTCCTGAGCCAGGCTACAACAGCTGCCCAGCGGCCCCTCTGCCCCAGGGCCTGCACCCCCTGCACCAGCGCCATGTCACCGTGCCCACCAGCATCCCCCAGCAACAAGTCTTTGCCCTGGCAGAGCCCAAGCGGAAGCCCTCGCTCTTCTGGCACACTTTTCATAAACTCGCCCCTTTCCGAAAGTGAGCCCGAGGGTATGTCCCTGGCCAGTGGGAACAGTGCACCATTCTAGTTGCTTCAGGGTGCAATCCCGGGACTGCCTTGGGCCCAGTGCTACAAACTTATTTTGGGGAATCAATGAAGAAGAGAAGACCCACTCTTCTGAGACCCAGCTGCATCCCCAGAAGGAGGAAGAGGTCAGGACGCACCGCTTAGCCTGTACCAGAACCCTGAGATGCACCCAAGGGGCCAGTACTGGGCAGCCCACGTCGTGCAGTAGGGGGAGCCTTGCTGGTGACAAACACACTCCTACTACAGTTCCAGAGCACCCAGAGCCTTTCAGTAACCAATGAATAACTACCAGACGTTCTCTTTTGTGTGCGATTTTGGAGGGAATTGTCTTGACGCTGCCTCCCCTAACACACATCTGGTCACACCTAGAAGGTGAGCTTATACTCGGTTCTGTAGCATTAGGGACCTACAGCTGCTGTGGAAATGGCCATGGTGTCATCTGAGTGCACACAGTGGCCGAATGACGGCATGGGCTTCACCTTATAAGGTTCCTCTTCACAGGCTGGAGAAAGTCATCTGGCAGCGTGACCTGCAGTGCAGAGGACCTCACACTTCCTCCAGAGAGTACTGCCTCTGAGGCAGAGCAGGCTGCCATTGTCCTTGTCAACCCTGCTGCATACCTGGTGTGGTTCCTCAGGCGGAAGTCACCATCCCGTTCACCCATCATAACCTAAGAAATTGCCACTCACACAACTGTGATGTGTAAAAAGCTCACTTCCTGTCATTTATGACACTTGTTGGAAAGCATTCTTAGAGCATCTTGTGCGCCTCCTGCAATGGTTTCTCACATCCCCGCTGACGGAGTTACATAGATGTGGACTTTTCTCAAAGAAATCAGAGGCACAGAGCAAGTCTGCTTTCCTGGGGATTTGAAGCCACCTTTGTCACGTAAACCCTCAACAGTAGCACATGGCCATGCCTGCATGCACACAGTAGATTTCTAAAGTGTCATTCTCTGTGAGACCTTGACAAAACTCCCAGACTCAGAGCAGTGTTGTATAACGAAGGCCACACAGGCTGATACCTGCAAATAATAATCTCCTTTTTTTTGTCCGTATTGTAAAGTTTGATGAAAATATCTTTTAACTGTGTCTGGAAAAGACAGACTCTGCATTGTATTCTACTCATTGCACTGGCTGGGGAACACTGTGTTACACATTTGTGGACTATTTGAGAAGTTCATTTTTTTGTATGCTCTTCTTAACAGTGGTGTTTTATTTTGTTTTGAAATCATAGGCCCATGATTGAGAATAAACAAGTGTAACAATGTCAGAGACAAAAGTGTTGACTCCAGGGATGTGCATCCTGGGGTCTCTTCATCCCCTTTCCCCAATTTCAGAGCTGTTGCTGAAGGAGGTGAGATCACACATTAAGAAAACATAATCCTGGACCCTCCATAGGGCGTTATGTGGCCATCCAAGACCCTGCGAGCTGCTGAGCCGGTGCAGGGCCTGTGGCGAGCAGCTCCTGGGTTGCCTCTCTGGACTTTCCCACTGCAGGTCCTAAGACAGAAGTGGTGCTGTGGGATGTGTGTGTGTGTGTGTGTGTGTGTGTGTGTGTGTGTGGTGTGTGTATTTCAGTTGCATTTATATAACTGACATTTTTACTAACAAAATGTAATGATATATTTTGGAAACTACTTAACATGCTTTTCAGTGCTAACTAGACTTGTTTAGATGTACAGTAATTTTGAACAGTTTCGTTTTTAATGTAATATAAGAAATTTTCTTTAAAGAAGTAAAGAGAATCATGTGTTTATGTTACGTTTTCAGTGCAGATTCAACTCCAGTAAAGAGTCCCTCATAGAGCTTCCATTTGGTATTATTTACCAATGGACAATGAAGAAATGCTTTAAGCTTTTTGGCAAGTCCTTATCTATTTTTTCAGCTGAGCCCTTACTTTTGGTTCCCACCTACCTCCGTGGACTTCCTAACAGAGAATTGAACACACAGACAAGTTTTTATTAAGCTCAGTTCAAGACCCAGGTTGCTTCAGTCAGATTTATACAGTGTGAGAATCAGTTGATCAAATAATCTGTCTTGGGTAGATCCTATTTGGGTTTTCAGGTAATTCTGAAAACTGCTGATACATTTTTTAAAAGAATAGAGCATCCTTTGACTTCTTGAAAATCTGTATGTCTGGCTTGGGTTTATTACCGGGTACCAGAGTTCTGCAAAGGTGGAAGACCTCAAGTATTCTCATTTTCAGTTTGCCAAAGTTCCTTCTTAATTTAAGTCACATCTTCCACTCGAAAAGAAGCAACAAAGTGCCTTCTACCTGGATTGTGTGTGAATTTCATTGGAAATTGCCACCCTGTCCTGTTGTGGGCCAAACAAAAAGATGATGTAACATTTTGATGACTTTCATTTGTTCTTTAATGTTATAGATTTTGCCAAATCTGTTGAGACAGTTGGAATAGCCTTGGGTCAAAAGCAGCCATCGAAATTTTGATCATAACCTAAAATGTAGTAGGCTGTAAGCAACCATAATAGTTGAAAAATGTTAGTGAAGTAACATTCATTGTCCCTGCCCAGTAGAAAGAGGGTGGCAAGCAGTTTGCCAGAGTTTTCATGGGACACTGTTAACATAATTTGTTTTCATTAGGTCTGAGGTTTGTTCCTGCTGGTAGATCTAATTCTGTAGTTGAAAACAGGCCACCACCATCTAAAGCCATTTGTAAATATTGTGTCTTTTTATACCCAATCAAGTTGAAGGTTGTATGCCACGTTGCACTTTGCTGTTGTCTTTACATAAAGCAAACGTACACTTAATTCAGAATTCAATTCATAATAGAAATCTTCTGTAAAAGGGTATCAGGTGATCCAGCAACTTGCCAGGTAGAAATCTCTGCATGCTTGAATTACTGACATTCCTCAGTACAAGTCAGCTATGTTTTCTCAACAGAATAAAGCATTCTGACTGTGAGAGAGGAGACAAGTGTCCCTCGGGGCAGTGTCAGCAAGTACACATAAATGTCTTTTTGGTGGTTTGCACACTGGACATGACTTCTGGGTTAAGCAGCTAGCAAACAGTTTTCCATATACTACACTTTTAATAGCTCTCTTTTAAAATCTTTTTGGCCAATGCTGTTTGTTTTCAGGATGTAATGGACCTGGAGTTCAAAAGACTTTGGGAAAAAATAAATGGAAACTTTCTTCTAGCTGGCCTTGGAGGAAAAAAAACTCCAGAAGCTTATGTATTTTATGTAAACTTACTTAGCTCCAACATACTTTTCATTGCTGCTTTTAGTCAGGCATTGACATTTGTATTTAGAAAATACTTTGAATAATTCTGTAATTTAATAATCATTCTCCCTTTTTTGGGGGGCCACATATTAGCACCCAATGTGGTTTCTTAGTCTACCTTGGCTTTTAATAACGTTTTAACTTGTCCACATGAAGATAACGTCATCTGTGTAAATCAGGTGACACTTCTGAACTTGGCTTTATCAGCTGAAGTATGGTCCAAAAGATTGCTATAACTTCATATGTATTTTTGTTGAATGCTTTTTTGTAAAAAAAAAAAATTATTTACAATGTTATTTGAATGATTTCTTGTAAATGCTGTGAATCTGTATTTGTTTTGTATCTGTATATTAAAATTAATTTGCCAGTTTCTTTTTTTCATTAAGTTTATTGGTACATTTTAGGTATCTAATACAGCTACATTCATCATTGGGATCTTGTACCTTTACATGATGTATCTTGGTTCTTATTTTTTCCCCATTCCCCTACTCTCCCTTCACCCCCTCAACATTCTAGTAATTGCATTTGAGTAGTAAAAAAAGAAGACATAAAGAAAGAAGAGCCTGGAGTGCAAGGAGTCCCTCAGATTTGCAGGTCCTTTCCCATCCTGACCTTGGCAGGCTTATTCAGAGCCAGACCAGACTCTGTCCATGTGGGAAGAGGTCAGCACAGAGCAGCTGAGAGGGGCCACTAGACCAGAATATCTCCAGGCTAATGGCTAAGAAGTAGGAAGCCTTGTTTGTTTTTGTTTGTTTTTTTGTTTTGATTTCAGGGATTTGGGGTTGTTCTGTTTTTGTTTTTTGTGCTGGAGATTGAATCCAGGGCCTCCCTTACGACAAGCATATGCTCTACCACTGAGCTCCAGCTCCAGTCCTGGAAGCCCTAGTTTATAGTAGCAGTTGTTACCAGGGATAACAATGGGTGGGTGACCAGAAGAAGCCCTTATGCCCTTAACCTTTGGGTGTGGGTTGGATAAGAATTTCCTTCTCTGATTAACAGCTCAGAAAACCCAAGTAAATAGCCCATTGTTTGTTGTGACTAATCAGAAAAGGGTTTCTGGGAAAGGTTGCCAAGGCTACCTCTGGCTTTTTGTTTGTTTACTCCTGACCTGTACCCACTCTCAGAGTGATGATCTGACCCTCCTTGGGCTGGATGAGGGAGGCTCTGCTTGGGTAGGGAGGTGGGTGACAGCACTGAGAACCTATCATGGCTAAGATAATCCCATACACAGGAATTAAGATCACAGGAGGGCAGTGGCATCTTCTAGAAGAATTGGGAGATGAATTGAGGTATCAGGTGCCTCACTGCATGCTGGAAAAGGTGTAATGTGTGAACCCTCCACACATTTCATGTCTGTGGTCAAAGAGAAAGACAAACATAAGGGTACTACAAAATTCAGGCAACATCAGAGCTGTGCAGCAGTTACACAGCAGCTTCAGAGAAAAGTCTCTTTGCCTGGTGAGTATCCCGGCCAGTGGGCTAAGCAGGGTCAGAGTTGGGACTGAGTTATCTCCAGGTGGCTGGAAATGAAGTGTGACAAATATGCAGGAGGCCCCAGAATGGTGTGCAGAAGCTCATGTGGCCCATGGTGGCACTTGGGATTTCCTAATGTGACTAAAGTGATAGAGGTGAGCTGCAGCTGAAATTCGCTCTTTAGGAGATGGCCAGGGGCCATTAGAGAGGGAAGGTAATGGTTTGCGAGCTGTGCCCAGGACAGGAGAGTGGGAGGCTACCCTGCAACCCTGGCAAGTCTCAGGGGTAAGGTCGGGGAGGATGATGGTGACCACATACTATCAGGCCACAGTGGGTGGGTGGGAGTGCCAAAACCAGCGTGGAGAAGGGTGATGTGCTGAGACTGGTGACTGGCCTATCTGGTCCATCACTATGGCACGGAGCTCTAGAGAGAGGTCAGGGCTGGAAATACAGGTTGAGGAACATTCAGGGACCAACCGGAAGCTGTGAGAGCAGAGGGGCCACAGCAGCTGGTCCCAGGTGGCCCTGAGGACAGTGACCAGAGGGGTCCCTCAGACAGCTGGCACGTGCTGCTGGGAACGCACCCGCACAAAGGGACCTAGAAAAGCAGGTCCCAGCCTAATGTACATGAGTCCAGCACCACCTGGGAAGTTGGTGCTGGTTTGCTTGCTGTACCAGTGGGGACATGGAGACCTTGGGAGGGGAGGGCTAGGGTTGTGGCTTGGCTAACGTGAGGCCTGCCCGGCACCTCCACCTGCACACCCCACTCCCCATGTGGTCTCTGCAATTGAGTCCCTGCATCTCCTAGAAAGAGTTGGGTCCCTTTGTCCTCTTGATACTAAGTGTCAGACAAATGTTAGTAGATGTTTATCAGGAAAAGTTAAGAATGACTTGTGACACTGAAGAGAGAGTTGCATCATGTTTTTCTCAGTGGCAAGATGTGTGTGTGTCTGAATCCTTACCCACCCAGGTGCCCGAGTCAAAAGGGTTTACACAGACATTTGAGAGATCTGGTTAAACGGTAGTGATCTTGATGACCCAGGATCCAAATGAGACCTGGAAATGGTGACGTGGGAATGCCTTGCTCCACCTCAAAGTCCCTTATTTCATTAAAAAAGAACAGAAAAAGCAAAAGTGTCTGCACTACATGGTGCTGGTAGAAGATGTTACCTGACCCAAGTGTCGCTATAACTTGAAGCTCTTCCAAGTCATCTGCGCCTTCCCCTGTTCCCTCCCTTTCCTGCTGTTTTGTGGTTGTACCCATGAGGGAATTGTAGGGCAGGAAGGTATGATTTTTCATTTGCTTTATTCCTGACTTACACAGCACTGGGGTTCAGCCAGCAGCCCTGGAGTTCAGGTAAGTGCACTGGGAAAAGATTTCTTTACATTCACCTAATGCATCTGGGTGCTAAAACAGCTCTTATAATGTCAGTATGAGATAATCGTGCTTCATTATTTGCAAAATAATCAGATGTCTTGAATTGTTTGGGTAGGAAAAGGAGTACCTTTCTTCCAAAATTAATTCTTGAGGGAGAGGCTGTACAGGAGATCAAAACAAATTTGGCATCCTTTTGTGAAAACTCTGCAAACCAGCTGGGAGGAGGGATAAAAACCATAGACTAAATCCCAAGAATACAGACCTTGCTAGAGAGCTTTCTAGAGATTATAAATTATTTTGCACAAATTTTAATCTATCCATTTTTATGCTTGTGACTGTGCTGATACAGTTAGTCTCAATATATATTGAAGAAGAAATATACAAAATACACAATTCATAAAGCACTTGGGATGCTTACGCTCACAGATACTGGATTCAGAAGCTGTTCCACGTGGGAAGGGGGTCGAGAGGTTAAGTTTATCCCTAACACTGCCCACGCAGAAGCTGAGCTGGTTTCCGGTAGATCTGTATTAAATGTTAGTGGTTGGGGGAAGTAAGAATCTTGAAGAGTGGAAATCCTTAACCATGGCTGTGATAAGAGAAAATGAGGAGGGACACTGGGTGAAACTTTCTCAAGATTCAATAAAGACAGAGAAATGTAGGTAAAGCAGTGAAGAACCCAGAAGAAGCTAACTAAAAATCTTTCTTTGGGACTAAACACCAGTAACTCCCAAGTAATTCTCAGTGTGTCCCCTTGTCCCTACCAAGTCAGAATGTCAGGTTCAGGAGATCACAGCATTCAGCCATATGGGTGCCTCTGGTCTCTGCACTCGTATTGATCAGCTCATCTCTGCAAGGCAGTGCCCACCCCTGAGAGGCTGTGTGCTACCTCAGTCACCCTGCCCTGGGGCTGGCTGGCTGCAGGAGTCCATAGGCCTTCCACACTTCTGATTGGAGGCCACACCTGTGGGCAGCAGATGCCTTATATTACTCGAGACGTGGGCTCAGTTTTGTGTCACCAGTAACCAAAATAGCAGAACTTAAAACAAGTTAGTGTTACGTTTCCCTCCTGCTTCCCTGTCAAAGCTGGGCTAGTAGAATAAGACTGGTCTGCGGGGTCATTCAAGAGCAGGATTTATTCCCCACAAAGTGTTGCCCTCCTTGAGCAATCCACGGTGGTGCCCCTTCCTATGCACACCTGGTCACAGGAAAAGGGAAGGGCTCCTGGGGAGGGCACACCCTTCCCTTTAGGTCCAGTCCATAATTGCACACATTTCTCATTCCCACAGGCCAGAATCTAGCTTTGTAGTCATAGCTGCAATGCAAGGGAGGCTGGGAATCATAGTCTATTGTGTACAGTCAGGTACTCTGCTAAAATTGCTCTTACCTGGATGAAGGGGAGAAAGGTCTTGAAGATAACCAGCAATCTCCACCAAAAGACTGACAAGGACCCAACTTGACCCGATTTTTCGCCTCCCCAAAGGATGCACAATTTGAACTAGGATGCTTTCATTCATTCAACAACTATCTGACTATAAAGTACTAAAAACAAGGGAGTAGAAAGATGGGGTAATTACTTTCAAAAAGCTCTAACCAGGCTTAGGTGGTTCGGAAGTTATCACTAGCCTAAGAAAGATGCGCAGACCAAGAGTCCAGTGGCAGTAATCCAGGCAAGAAGAAAGACAGGGGTGGGGTGGGGAGTTGCTACTCACCAGGAAAGGAATGAGGAACTTAGAAGAGGTCCTAGCCCCAGTCTCTTGACATAGGAATTCAATGTTGAGAGCAATCACTGTGGCTGAACTAATGAAACTGAGCATTCAGCTCATAGCAGTGGTCAATTTTGCTTTCTCAAAATAATCTGAATAGAATTTCTGCTATATTCCTTGTGCACACCCTCCAATTTTTACATGAAAGTGCAAACCCTTTTCTAAATGTTCTTATTACAAATAGTACCACCACATTTTTCACTGCTGCTTTGGGAGCAAAGTGTGTTCAATGAAAATCATTTGCTGAAGCTTGTCTATGTGTTAAGTACAAGACATAAGCAAGATAGACATTCTGCCCACATCAAGTACACAAAAGCAGTGAAAAAATTACAGAAGGATACATATGTTAGTTAGCTCTTTGCTTGTTGGAAAACAAGATGGAGTTTATCCAACCTTGACACCTTTATGCTTTTGTGATTTTTGCATCACTGGAATAACTTGCATTGCACATTTTGAAAAGGTAAAAGGAAAACCATACAACCCCAAATGATGGTTGGCTGGTAAACTTAGATTTCATTACTACCAGTCACTTCTGAGTTAAATAAAAGAGGCAGATGTAGATTATTTATGGATTTGGCTATAAGAAAACTCAACTCAATTTCCTGAAATGGGTAAGTTTATGACTTCTAAAGGAAACATCTGCATTTCCTTTTCCCAAAATACTCTGCATTTGCTGCATCCTGTGATACTTCAAGGCTTCCACAAGAAAGCAACATAATCCTTTAGATGCAGAGTTTAGTTTTTGTTTTGCTTTT